ATTATAGGCTGATGGTCAGATCTTCTTTATGTCTCATTTTGTTTTAAGTGTACATACAGTAGATGCACAGTACCCCTTACTCCTTCTCTTTTGGTATACTAATTCCTAAAATGATGATTCAGACCCTCTTGACTTCAGCACCACCCAACAGTGTCCTCCTCCACCCCTAGTGTATAACTATAGAGTTTTCATTAAACAGAAGAAAAAAATATCCATAAAGATCAAAAGATAGAAAAATGTCATGAAGGTCTAAATAAGAAACTGTAAAGGTTGTCTGACCTCTTGTAACAGCAAAGGATGAGGACAATAATGATGATGATGAGTAAAGATACACCAATACATATGCCAACAATCAAAGCGGTTTTGTCTAAAAAATGGAAACAAACAGATGAGTATCTTGTATAGAATTCAGAATTCAATTATGACTTGTTACGGGATCCAAGACATGCAATCTGGAATCCAAGATATGCAATCTGGAATCCAAGATGTACAATCTGCAATCCAAGACATGTAATCTGCAATCCAAGACATGCAATCTGCAATCCAAGACATGCAATCTGCAATCCAAGACATGCAATCTGCAATCCAAGATATGCAATCTGCAATCCAAGATATGCAATCTGCAATCCAAGATATGCAATCTGCAATCCAAGACATGCAATCTGCAATCCAAAATTTATTTCGTAATTGGTTCTAAATTAAAACAGTTGGCTTTGTTCTGTCGATCCGAAAATTTAAGACTTGATCTTTGTGAAACATCCCTCAGCTCTTGAGCATTAGGAATAAGCAGTGAGGAGTTGTTTATAAAGTGCACCTCCTTTCCCCCATACCCCAAACGGAAGTCTGTTTTAACACTTACTCGAGTCTTCCTTGATCTTGGCTAAAGGAGACAAGAATGAAAGTGAATTAGTCAATAATTGAAAAAGAACGAAAAGGGAAGGAAGATCACATGCTTAGTGACAGCATGCTGGGAAATTGACGTTTTAATGGAACAATTCCTTGTGAACAGGGGTGTATCCAGGATTTTGTTCAGGGAGCGGTGCTGGGCACAGATTTAACCCAGGGATGGGTGCACCCATTAGAATCAAAGGTAAAAAGCAGTATTGGTTATCTTCGAAGTTGGGGCACAAAGTCGAACCAGGGAGGGGTGCGCACCCCCTGCACCCCTCCCCTGGATCCGCCCCTGGAGAAATGAATGGGAAAATTTCCGAACTGAAGAAGCATATGCTTAAGCTTATATTGCTTATGTCGATAGCTTGAAACGGACTTAACTACCCTGGGTAGCAGACGAATTTTAAGTTTAAATTCAAATTTAGGCTGCATGCAGGCTACGAAGCAACCTGCTGGCCATGCAAAGTAGAATTAACTATATGCCTTGCTTCGTAAGATTCCCAATATAGTCGTATACACCAGTGATCTGTGAATCAAAGTAATTCTCTTGCGAAGTAGAATCAGCTATATGCCTTGCTTCGTGAATTCCCCCCCCAAATAAATTCCCTCCCCCCCCCCAAATAAATTCCAACCCCCCCCCCAAATTCTCAGATACACAAGTGATCTGTGAATCAAATTATTTCTCTTGCAAAGAAGAAGCCTTGCTTTGTGAATTTATCAAATAGGTTGTCAATACTCAGATAACCCAGATTTGACAAAGGACATGCTTTTAGAGTTATTTTACTTGGACTGTCAGGTACTAGTTATGCAACTTTGTTTCAAGGACCAATTTAAATCAATCTACTTACCACAGTTTACACCATCGCCCGAGTATCCATCATTACAGCTGCATGAGAAACTACCATCTGTATTCGTGCATGTAGCATCACTGTGGCAGTCATTTGCATCTGGGTCGTTACATTCGTTCACATCTAGAGCAAATAAATCAAGAAGAATGATATTTTCTAATATTCTTTATACTTTTCTTAAATTGCCTCTACCTTCCCTCTGTTTTTTATCACATATTTATTTTCCCTCTTAACCGACTTTTTTCCCACCCACTTCACCGCTTTTCGTTTTCCTTCATATATTTTCCCTCCCACTTTCCATTCTCTTACATTTATTTTTCGTTTCTTCTGCTATTACCCTTCCATCTCCCCATTCATTTTCTCTGAAACGTATATTATTGGTACCAAGTTTATTTTACATTCATCCATACCTGATACAGAACTAGATTGAGGATCGAAGCTTAAGGCTCCCATCACTCCATTAACACCACTGATATCCTGATTAAGACCTGTACTCGTAACATTGGAGTTGGGATCGAAGTTCAACGAAGCATTGGCAATTATACTTCCATCTCTGTAGAGAAATCAGCCAAAAATTAATACCATGCTAGTTACGTTTATCTTGAAAGGTTTATTTTGTGAAAACAAAAAGTGCTTTTTCCCCTTTTAAGGGTCAAGTAATATAATACTCCCCTTCACAGTTCCCTGCGCCATCTTGAAAGGTAACTGCGAAAGGGACTTATAGTTTTAGAAATTGATTTGGGTTTCTTGGGATGCGAGTCTCTTTCTATGAGAATAAAAGGATAAAAGAGGTGCCCCGGCCGGCCATGTTGGTTGACATGACAAGAGACGCCAAGACCAAATCTTTTGTCAAAGTCAACCAAAATGGCATCAATGACGTCACATGCATCTCATGAATATAAGTTGCTCAAAGTCCCTTTATATCAAAGTCCCTTAGGCCTAGGGCAAACGTCGAACTTTCCATGCACCGAACTCATTAAAAACAATGGATATCAGGTGATAATGAGGCGACATTCTTTGATGTAATTAAGTGCGGTTTATGGAAAGTTCGACGTTTGCCCTAGGCCTTAATGTCAAGGGCGTTACACTTACTGTAAACCAGTTACGCTACATCCAAAATAAAATAGTCTAAATCGGGATTTCGTCTTGAAGAACGCGTTGAGCTGAAAAGGAAGGCCAGAATGAATGATTCAAGGAAAAAAATATCAATATTTGCTTTCAGTTGTATTATTTATTTATTTATTTTTATTCAGGTTGATAACTGATCCGGAACGTATCGGCAGATTCAAGGGAGTGCCTCAGGAGTGTCATAAGACCCCTATCGTTATTCCGCATTTATTCGGAACTGGTTTTATAATGCTGATAAGTGAGTATCATATTTTGCTAATGATTTCAGTGTGTGTTTTTTWAAACTTACGTTAACAATAATCATGTTTACGGTGCTTATGTAGTCATCAGAGAATTCGTCATTCAATCCGCTTCTCCATTTGAACTCGGGGGAGTTCGAGTACCTTAAAAGACGTATCTTGAGTTTAAACCGCTTACTCTCTGCATGCGAAAGAAAAGGAACTCATTTTTTAAGATATTCGCACTAGACATTACACCTACTTGCAAGAAGGTTGTCATACAAGAATAGAAAATTTGCAATTTAGTGAGAAAGGAATACATTAAAAGACAAAAGAAAAAGTTCAGCTTCAGTGATCTTCTTTTGTTTTTTGATATAATTCCTATCCCAATAAATCACTAATGTTCTATTTTCGTACGACAACGTTCTTACAAGTAGGTGTACATCGGGAATATTCGTTTCTTCGTTAAACGAGGTCCGCCATGTAAATATCTGATGCGACGATAGATGCCCGAGTAAACGCGGTTCTCTCTACCCATATTACATTATTCATTCGTTAAATGAGGCCCAAGTAGACAGCCAATATTTGAGCCTGGCAACAAAAGCACCCCACCCTGCAAATTTCTGATTCGGACAGTTTACAAGAAGCCCGAGTGTTCACGTTTGAAACACGTCTCTACCCGAACCAAATCTAATCTAGCAGTATAGACACCACCACCACCTACTTTTGCATTCAAACGTTCCATCAGAAAATTTCCTCGGTGGACATCGACATTTGTAACCGCCCTTCTTGTTTTTGCATATCTGGTCTTTGCGGGGACATTTGAATCCCTCTTTACACTCGTCGGTATCTGCAAAGGAGTATGGGGGGAAAATTAGGAATTTGTTCTATTAATCCATGCTTGTGAACTGCGGAAAATAATAATAATATTATTATGTTATTGCAAAACCTCCGCAGGACAGAAGAAAAATTACCATACCTAAAGTTGACATTTCATATAAGACAATGCGTTAAGGCATTTTTGGCCTCAAGCACGGGTTTTTTGATACCAAATTCACACTTTTTACTGAAAATCGAACATACAGAATTTGTTGATGTTTTCATACCCGCTGGTGTCATCGGGATCACGTACAATTCAAGTTCAACTGATTTCAATGTTTCTCATTTATTGTTGCCATAGAAACATCAATTCCACGGAAATGTATATCATCATAGGCATCATAAACTCCAATCTGAGACTAATGTCTAGTGTGAATTTCAACTCAATCCTACGTCAGAAAGTTTGGTAAAAAGCCAGCCAAAAAAGTTTGGTATGGCTGGGGGGAAAACAGGATAGAAGAACGTTTAATTTATTCTTTCAAACTTGACAGTCTTGCTGTTTTTAACATGCTCTTACCAGCTTTTTTATTTTTATTTTTATTTTTATTTTTTTTTTACCGTAATTATTTTTGTTTAATACGTTTTAAAATACCTGATAAGATCTCATTGGTGCCGTTTTAACTTAAGACAAGGCTTGGCTAAGTTGTATCAGTTATAACTACTTGGAGGTTTATGTTGCTTGCCGAGTAACTGTATGTTATGTCTAGTCGTGACCCTAGAGACTTGTCAATCTTACTGCATTTGCTCGAAGAAATGGCATTTTGTGGAGCATGCGCAGTAAGAGCAGCAGTGGCTCTGACGTCGAGAGTGGCATCTAGTTGCGCAATGAATGTGTGAAGCCACACTGGAACACGTACCTTTGCACGTCATCTTGTCATCATCCAGTTTATAACCACGTTTACAAGAACAATTTCGACTACCAGCAGTATTGGTGCACATATGCAGACAGCCGCCGTTCGCGGTCTTGCATTCATCGATATCTGATTTCAAAAAAAATGTTAAAGACATTACTTTTGGTTCAATAGCATATAGTCATCGATGCTGGTACTATTACTACAATCGATCTTAAAATGGCCGTTAAATAGAGGTTGGCCACTTACGGTCAACCGTGAACACCTACAATATGTCTGGAATGTTAAACGTGTTCTGACCAATCGCATGTGATTGAATGAATTGATTTCTAACTAACTGTCGCATGTGATTGGTCAGGACAGGATGTTTAACATTCCAGACATATCTTAGGTGTTAACGGTTTTCTTAGTTTGATTGTATTATGTGACCAGATGTTCCCATATCAAAGCTATAGACCCCTTGCATTGATTTCCTAGAGGAATTGTTAGTCTGTCTTTTCTTATGCAAAAAACAATCCATTGTTTTGTTCCCCAGAACAATTCTTCTCGGGACTCAATACAAGGGGTCTGTATGACTAGACTTTTCAGCGAAACGCTTCTATTGCACGTTACGTCATCGCGGCCATGTTGGTACCATTTAACAAAAGATTTCTCATTATCATCCATTGTTAACGGCACCTCAATGGCCGCCATGCTTTTGTCTTTTGACTGTCTTGGGAATGCTTGCAATCCATCAATCGTTACCTTCGCAGTCTCTCTTGTTGGACATCAACTTGAAGCCAGGTTCACAGGAACAGTTGTAGTTTCCTGGTGCATTATTACAATTATGGGCACATCCACCATTGTTGGTCGAACACTCGTCGATATCTTGGCGTAGAAATATAACCAACATTAGTAATGGTCTTTCACAACTACTGAGCTCTGATTGGCTGAGTTACTAGTAGTCTAGTATTCTCCTGATCCCTCTTTCTTCTGACAGGCTACAGTTTTCATTCAACATTGTGATTGGTTAACGTTTTAAAAGTTGATGACACATGTTAACAGTGTTAAATCAAACAGTTGACTTAAATTAAGCTCATTCGATAAGGTGGATTTTAAGCTTCAAGTGACAACGCGAAATATTCGGCAGAGAAGGATCTTGGACTATCCCAAGTGCCTTTGCGAGCTTATAGTTTTCTCAGTTCGGTTTCAACCGGTTTCAACCGGTTTCAACCGGTTTATGTGGATCTTTTTTTATTGATACTTCTGCTACTACTACTGATACTAAGGTGTTGCTTTAGCGTTTAATGAAGACATGTTCGACTGATTTGGCAAATAAAAGTAGTCATTTATAGGATCTGTACTAAACCTAAAAGCACTTCAAAGGTACTCCAGTATTTTGAAGAATATCTTTATAACATTTTTTGAAGAATTTGTGAAACAAATATCGCTAAATGGTGACAAACATTCTACTTAAGAACAATAAATTTTTCAATTTCAAGCTGTTTAAATGGAAAATCAGTTTATTTCTCACTCGCTCGCATCGCATTGCATGATGGAATAAACCCTGGATTCTCCTGATTATTTGGTATATTCTATAGTATAATCCTCGAATTACTAACCTTGGCATTTCTTGTTGTCGGCCGCAAGTTTGTATCCTTTGAAACATTTACACTCATTTGTGCCATTTATGACGACACACTCATGTTCACATCCTAAACCATTACACTTCTGTTTTGCTAAAATTAAATGAAATATTCGGTAATTTTCTGTTAAAGAAATAAACGTGAAAAGACCAAAAACTTTTCTCGACTTCCTTTTTCAAGAACGATTGGCATCCATTTACCAATTCCACACCACACCACACCACACCACACCACACCAC